CAAATCATCCTCGGGATATTGCTGGGGCTTCCCAAAAACCCAACTGAGCTGAGCCTGAGGGACAGGACCTGGCGCCAGAGCCCCAGCTGAGGGCTTGTGCCTCCCCGAGGGTGGTGGGGAAGAGGCGCTGGGTCCCTGCCAGCGGAGCCACGGCTTCTCTGTCGCCGCTGGGAGGGCACCTGGGGTGACTGCCCCTCTGCACCGAGGACGGCACAGGGCAGAGCAAACCCCCGGTCTCCCCCATCGCCCTCCCCACTACGCCCGCCCAGACCCTGCCGATCCCACCCTGCCATCAAGACAAAAAAAACCCGCCTCCGTCTTGCAGAGACGAACGGGTTCGCTTTCTCATTTCAGGAGAAAATACTCCGTCTGGTATCCCGGCTGTGACACAGACCTTCGAGGAAGCCGAACATACACAGTGACAGTGAAGTGGTAAAACTGCCTTCTGCAAAAAGCACTGTGACTACCGCCACCTCAGCGGGCTGTATCACTGCGTGATTAAGTTCTTACCAGACTTTTTGGTAAAGGCAACCTTCCTGATCTGATAACTGCCAAGGACAAGCCAAATACGCAGGGTCAATCTATGCACATTTAATCCCCAGAAGGCAGATTAAGTGTATAATTGACCCATATAATCCACGTATCATCTCCAGTGAAATGTTTTCTATGTCCGGTTTAGGCAGACATGAGGCCCATAAGAAAGCGATCAGAGACACGGTATTACCATCGCAGTGGATTTCATCAAAGTTAGAGATGGCTTTTTAATCACTCATCTCAGAGACTGCTAGATTTAAGCAGATGAACTAGCGCTAAGCACATCTGTTTTAATCCTTATCTTCTACTCAGGCTGGTGTCTTCAAGAAGTACAAGGAGGAAAAAAATAAATTAATTTTTTTTTTAGGTCCTTGCAATCTTAGGAGCTTCTCTTGGTGTTTTGATCTCTCATATCAAAAGCATGTTTTTGTTTTTTTCGGTAAGATATTGAATTAATCATCAGAGAGAAAAATGCCATCTGCGCTATTTAGGGACTGCATCAGGATGCTGGAATTCACAGGATCTTGGGGAGCTCTCACTCAACGTTCAGTAGCCTTTTGTGTACGTGCTACTCGCCTGCGGCTGGGGAGGAAAAATTCTCGCTATGTTTTACATTAGTGTTTACCAATTTATGAGGAAGAAAGGTTGGCATTCACACTATCTACTAGCCAATCATAGGCTTTCTGGATCACATATGTTCTGACAGGTTGAAACCTATACTGTGAGTATCTCAGTGTGCGTGTAAAGATACACACGCATACACGCACGTATAAATAAATAACTTCCACCAAAGGGCACAGCCCTTACAAGTAAAACTGCCGCTGCCTTCAGACAAAATTACGGACGTATAAACTCTGATCCTATGAAATTGGACCTGAATTTGGCAGGATTGATCTGAAGACTCGAGATCACTCTGAATGGTATTTTCCCTTCCCATGTTTAAGATACACCCGCCTGCCTCTGCCTCATCGTGCCTATAACCTGTCACATTCCGCAGGTCGACTCTGCCCCCCTTTCCAGGGAAAAAAAGTGATAAAATCTTACTTTTCATCAGGCACTACTGGAATTTGTGAGCCTTCTGCCTTGTGTGAAAAACATCGCAGTGGTTTAAATCCCAAAGCACCCAGCCATGCACAGGAACGCAGGGAGCGGATGCCACGATGCTATCCTGAAACTCTTCTGTTACCACTACTCTCTACCAACGGGACTTATTACAGTGTTTTAGCTTTAAATGTTACCAAATTAGTGAGCCAGGCCAAGTAAATAAGTCATGTTACTCTGCAGTAAACAGCACTGCCAAAAAGCTAGCTAGGTTTTGATTACCAGCAGAACTCCACGATCAATCTGTTCGTTCAATGATCCCAAGAATACAGATTTTTAAAATTAAGATGACTCCATTTGGGGGGGGGGGGGGGCGGGGGGCAGGAAACCCTGACTAATTTGCAGAATTAAGAGGATTAACACATAGACCACGCAGAAATATTACAATAATCTTCTGCAAACAGCAATATCTCCCAACGAGCACAGCCCTGTTCTGCAGGTGCGAGCAGGCACGCGATGCAGGAGCCGAGAGATGGTTTCTGAGCTAAGAAATCACAGCAAATGCCAAAAAAAGACATATTATCCCAGCTTCTGTTGGGAGATGGCCTAACGCACTGCAGCCCCTGCTCCTGGGAGGAAACAAAGGGGAAAGGAATGGAAACGCTGGGCAGGACTGCGGAGAAGCGTGGGGATTGGGAATATCCCAGGAGCTGCAAACCCCACTGAAGGTGCAATGGGCAACTTTGCACTGCGCACCTCTGCGCTTGCACCATGCACGACGGCACCGAAAGGGGACTTGGCCCTGTATTGCGAGTGCCTCTAATGTGATCCCACTGAGACCAGAGGAACTGCCTGCAGGCAGATTTGAGCTGTTTACCTGCCATTGCTGCACGTATTAACATATAACATCCTAAAACTGGACTAAGCTCTTGGCTGGGGTAAGCCAGCATCGCTGCACTATACCAGCAGAGGAGCTGGCCTCGAAAGCGTTAATAATCTCATTGCCTGGAGAAACTCTGCAGCTAAGAGGATTCCTCCTCTGCTGTACTGGGGAAAGCGAGAACAAAACCAGGCCCAAGTCTGATTCAGCGTCATAAATGCCATTTTTGATTACTCCTCTTCTCTTTCTTATTAAAAAGGTAGCTAGCACCTAAAATGTCCTTGGAAAATATGACCACGGGTGCAGACACCAAAGGAGCTTAAAGACCCCGCGGCTGCGCTGCTTCGCTGCATTAGGTGAGGGGGGCGAAGGCTGCAGGACTGTGGCCGAGATGAAGCTCAGGCCAACAGCGTTAAGCATTTGCTCCTGCCCTCACCGAAATGCAGGTGAACACACAGCACCGATTTAAACAGGGTCTGGTCCCGGGTGACCTCCCCCACACTCCTAGACCCTGCTGCTACAGCCCCGCCAGCATCCCAGCCGTGCTGAGAGCTGACCTCAGCAGCAATTCACTTCTTCAGCTGCAACCTCGCAAAGATGCAGCTCGCCCCGCTCACAGACACACACTCACGTATGCGAGATGTGCAAAGAGGCTGGTGGCATCGGGTCCCAACGCCGCTCCGCCGGTGCGGGGAACGGGAATGGGAATGGGAATTGGAGTGGGAACAGGAACAGGAATGCTCCCGCCTGCAGCTGGCGTGGGTCAGAACAGGCGGAGCAATGTAAAAAAGCCTACTCTTGATTATTTTATTCCGCATGGACCAGGGAGACTCGAGGCGAGCAGGGAGGGAAAGAAAGGTTTTGCACTTTTTGCTTTCCACCAGGGTAGCTGCTCTTTTTTTTTTTTTTTTTCATGTCAACATTTGTTTAAAATACGGCTTGGTAAAACTAAGTACGAGTGGATCAAACCGAAATCAATATTTGTGCTAATTACAGCCTTTTGAAAATTGGAAATGATGGCCCAAAAGGGTACAAACACACCAACTGTGAATCATAGGGAAAGGATGAGGGAAAAGGCAGTGTGGGCATTGAAAAGAACAGTCCAGATGAGCTCTGGAAATTTAACTGCTCATGGAATAAATTTCAACACAAACGAGCAATGCACTCGCAGGCCCGCTGCAGATGGAAGCGACAGTCTTTTGTTTTATGTTTTGTTTTTTCTCCCCATGCCTGCTTGATGGGTGATTTGCGTCTGGTGCTCTGCGCTGCAAACTCTCCCCGGAGCGAGCACGCGCGGCGCCCGGAGGAGGCACTGCTGTGCTCCGTGCATGAATGAGGCATTCTCAGTGGATATGGGTCATGCTAGTAGATGTACACAGTAAGATTATTTGACTCTAATTCATGCCACTTGATAGAATGTGATAAAACATTTGACATGAGAGATAAGTTCCATTTTAATCCGATAAGGTACGGGGAAAAGAAAGAGTGGGAATTGTAAAGGAGGAAGAGGTTTCTAAGGGACAGGTAATGCGCAGAAAGAGAGGTATCGAGTGAAGGAGGAGGTTGGTTGGGAAAAAAAGCAGCTTTCCCTGCACACTGAGGAAGCAAACAAGCGAGTAAAGAAAGCGAGGAAGGTTGTTACAGTTCCAGAGCCGGGAGACTGAGAAATGGCACTGCTGAGAGATGAAGGAAGGGAAGTAGGAACAGAAGCTGCTTCAAACAGAAATCGATATATGGACAAATACCCTAAAGGAGACTGAAACACTAATGCTACAGGCTGGCTGTCAACAGAAAACCTTCGCTATAGAACAGCTACGAGGACAGAAAGGCTGTAACGCAACAAGAGCAACAGAAACAGAGGTATCGGTTAACATGCATCCAAATCCAAAACAAACGGGCATCACAGGTCACTGTTCTCTTACAGTCCAATGAATTTATCTCCAGCAACAGAAAAATAGCTCTGAACATCTGGGTCAGTTCCTACCATGCCATCTTCATCAAGAAGACCATGTCTCAACTTTACCTTCGGTGTCAGACACCACGAGATGGTCCTCCTGCAATACGAAAGTCCATGCCTCATCGGCTCTGTTTTGGTTAGCTTTTAAAATTAAAATTTAGTTAATTCGAGTGTCAGTTTTAGAGTGCTTGTCAATGAAACACACTGCAAAATGTGCAGAAGAGATGGCCCTTAGCAAATGCATCTGCCAAAAACCTGGCTCAAATTTTACCAGTGAGAACAATGACCAAGATGTTCTGTTACAGAGAGATTTTCCACAAGCTTAAAGATAGTAAAGGGCTCTCTGAGAAGATGCTGTTCCCTTAAAATCCACGCACAGACAGACCAAGACACAGTAGACTAGAGTAGAGATTTAAAGCAGGCAGAGAGCAGATACGAGCCTTAGTCAGAAAGGAAGGAAAGATTTATTTATTTTTTAAAGCTATAACCAATAAATTTTCTCAAAATGTGACTTATCCTCCTGTCTTATTTTGTCACATTTTGGGTCTCTCCTGCTTGGTGTCCAAGGAGGAGAAGGCATTTACTTACATCAAATAACCTTTCTATATACATCTCCTCATTGACCTTATCACGCAGGACATCCTGAGAGTGGCGGACAAATGTCACATAGGCATCAGCAACATCCATCCCCGGCTTCTGCATGGGGGAGAGAAGAAGAGAGAGAGAGAGAAACATGAATAGCGGCGCAGGGGGCAGCTCCTCCATGTAGCCTCATGGATGCTTTTCCTTCTCCTCCATCTCCTGCTGTCCTCCTGCAGTTTGCCCTTTCCTTACCTGATGGACACCGAGTCCCGCCGCTTTGCCCAGGAAAATACCGTGTCCAGCTCAAGATCATGCAAAGACATTTGCTTTTTCTCTTCCTTTGCCTAGAGCGAAGCTGGTCAGAGGAATAAAGCTTCTCCTCGACATACCGATGCTGGGAAGTTCTCTTGCTACCGTTGGTGCTCTTGACCTAATGAGTGATCCAGCAAGCCAGGCTGGGGTTTGTTGTGTTCTTGGGTCATCTTCTCTATGCAAGCTCTCTGGTTTGTGAAGGTAGAGAGCTAGCAGCCAGAGTTGGGCTCTTGGTTCTTCTTCTACGGTGTGAGCAGTGAGCAGCTGGCATGGCAGGAGGCATGCCAAAATCACCTTCCCTTTTCTGTTTAGACCCCTGACTTTAGCTCACATCTAGTGCTGCTCTTAAGAATAAATTGGGTAAATGGTAAGGCAGGGAATGTACATCTACATGAATGTTTAAGCCGCTGCTAAACTGCAGGAAGCCTTCCCGTGCTGTCACATCTCTACAGCTCTCCACAGAATTTAAGTGATTTTAAACAGCAACCTACAAGCATGCAAGATTCTGGGACAACAGCATTTCTTGAAAGAAAATGGGAACTGAGGCAGGTGGAAGGGAAAATACTTTAAAAAAAAATAATCCTGTTTGAGTTCACATTGCTTGATATATTGGAATCAAACTTACCTCAAAGGAAAGCCATTAAAATACTGCAACGTGAGTCATTACAAGAGCTGCCACAAAACCTTAAATTTCCATGGCACATTGTAAGTTTGTTAATAACTAGTGTCATTAGTTTCCATTACTGTGATTTACCTCAGATCACAGAGTATCATTTCTCTGCAAGATACGATTGTCAGCCGCTGTAAATTGAAGTTAGTTAACACATCTGTGTAATTTCCAGGGTGAAAATGAGGACAGTTTGGAAAGCAGTAGGAAGGGAGTTTTTTAATACAAAGCAAACAATTATCAAGCAAAGGGCCAGTGCTTGGCCCTTGGGAAGCCAGTAACATTTCTTAACACCTACTGCAACAATGACAAGGTATTAATTTGAAAAACAATGAGGACAACACAAATGTGGCAGTAGTCAAGTGTTACACTTTCAAGCAATTTTCAGCACGCCAATCGTGCCCATTTCAAGGTGGCATTAAATGGATTGGTTTGTACCCAGACAATTGCAACGGTGTTTGCGGAATTAGATTTAACCGATGGTTTTCTGTTCAATACCAGGATTTCCCCTCTGTCCTTTAAAAGAGGAGCCTCTAACAAAACAGGTTTTTCTTTCTCCTTCCTCTGGAAAGGCAGTGGCTCACGGGCCATGGGGCATCCTCACGCAAAGGTCTGGGAGCTGTGCAGGGCTGGTGGTTGACTTCATCAAAAATTTTGGGGCTGCCATGGAAGCCATTGTAATGTGGCTTCATTTCCAGGGGGAGGTGAGGAAACAACCAAAAAATAACCCAGATGAATGATTCCTGCTCTATTTTACACAAGAACCAGAGCATCCAACTGGCTCTGAAGATGGGAGCAGACCCTGTTCTTCCTGCATATCCACAATGCTGAGGACCTCCCAAGGGTCTCCCAGGTACAATGAGAAAATGCTTTTGGAAAAGCTTAAAAGGGTCATGGAGCATTTTACCGAGGTTGCTTCCCTGGAGATGCTTTACTTTCCAGGAACGTAGAGGCCTCAGAGGCAGCCACGCTTTGCCCTAGAAGTTACTTACAGCAACTGTTCTTGCTCAAATTCCTGATGACTAAATATTTCAGATGCACTCGAATGACTAGGAGTTTCAACTGAAGGATCTCCACATTTCTGGGCTAGAAATTAATTCTGAGTGTCTCTCTCTAACGCTCTCAGTATCTTGTTTCTGTTACTCCAAGACTACAGGATACTGATCTCTGCATTGGGATATTTTAAACCAAGCAAGGTCTCTTTACTGTTGAAGAGTTTGTCTGTCTCATGCTGGGCTGAAATACAGCAATTTGGTAGGAAAGGCTTCTTTTGGGCTACAGGGATGGCAACACTGAACACAGGTGACGTGGTCGGAGATGTCTGATAAATTTATCACATTGTCCTGTGAGAGCATGCAGAGCAGTCTCATCTGCGTTAAATGCATATATATATATATGTACATTATACATACAGGTCATCAAACTCAACTAAGTTACTCTTGATTTACACTGCCCAGTCTAACTGGATGCAGGAACTGGTGTGGTATATTAAGATCTACTCCTTTTTCATTTATAATTGCTCAGGGTCTTTCTGCCTGTAAATGTTACAGTAACCCCTTATTCCAGCCAACTTTCATATATTACACTTCAACTCAATTTAAATGTAAATTTCTGGCAAGTTAAGTGCTCTGTCTAAGAACGTTAAGGGCTCTTTTCCTTACGAATCAAGGTCTAATTAGAGGAGACGATGTACAGTTTTCCTATACCAATTACAGAAAAATGGAAAAAATTATTTTCATTAACAATTTCCCAAACACATGTTGCTAGCTCATCACCATTTCCCCAAAGTAATAAAAAAGTCATTTTCCGAAAGAGTAAAATAAACCAACAATTAGAAGAACAAAAATAAAATAGATTAGCTAATGTGTTAGATGTGTGTTGGCTCAGTTCTAACATGTCTGGACCTTTTTGTTTGGAAATTATACTGTATTTGTACAAGTCCAAATGAAGAATTAACAGAATGCACTGCTCCCATTTTTTTTAAAAATGTGATTCAAGCCAATTGCATAAATATGGTACCTTTTTGACACCATCTGCAAATTATTGCCTAAACAGCCTCGTAGGTCTCCATAAGAGGGTAACTGCTCATTATTAACGTCATGGAGATATTCTTTCCAGTTCAAATGTTAGAAGTGTGAAGGCCCATGGTTCAATCTTGGCTGTTAATGCATAACGTGGGTTGCTACACATGCCATAAACCAAAGCGCGATGCAAATTACTATGACAGAAGTTGTTTAAATTGTGCTTACGGGTACATCCACGTATTTGGAAGCAGCCTTCACCTGTAAAAGGAACAAGAAGAGAGTTTACACCATCAGTACGTTTTCAGGTCTTTGTTTTTTCTTTAAACACCTGTAAGGGCTTCTCCAGCCAAGACTTGGGACAACGTAATGCTGAGTGGGGGAAAAAGGGTGATAAAAACTACGTTTCCTGTCTAAAAGAATAGGCAAGGACAGTATTTTTGTTGTTGTTGTTTTGGAGAGGTAACTTTACTGCTGCTAAAGCTCTAATAGCAACAGATGATAGTGTGGGAGTTGTGCTTCTCCCTCTTCTACTTCAGCGAGCGGGGGAAGACGGGGTTCGTAAGTAGACATCGTTATTTTCTTCGGAGGCCTCGTTCTCCACCCGATGCCACGTGTCTCCGAAGGCAGCGCGTGTCTCTTCCGTTGGGACCCGCATCCCAGGGACCATGGGAGCCCCCCAGCAGCGTGGGCACAACAGCATGGTGGGGCTGGCTGGCACCTGCACAAGGGTGGCCACCAGAAAGTGCCCAGGGGACCCTAATTTTGTTCCCTGCACGCAGTCCTACATGTGGCGCGCTTCCCCTGGCTTTGCACGCTGCAGCCTGGGACATTATTTTCCCCTTTTTTTGTTGGCCCTGATGCTGGCAGGAACTCACAGACCGTGGCTGGGGCAGCGCGCTCACGCCATGCCACGGAGAAATGCCCCAAAGCTTTTCTGCTTCCCAGATGTTTAAAAAAAAGCTTCCCCCTTTTAAAAGATGTTATTTGAGGGAGGGTAGCAGAGAACGGACGCTGCGCTCTGCGGCATCACCGCAAGCCGGCGGGGGCTGCAAGACCCCAAATTTAATTTGTCTCCGGTTTGCCATGCAGCAGGGTGCACATGGCCTGGAATGGGAGGCGGGGTGGCCCCCAATATCAGGGCCAACTTTTCCAACTGAGCAGTGCCCAGCTGGCCAGAGAGACCCTTTTCCCACTGTAGCATAAGGCACCGTGTCTAGAAAGAGTACGGCTGGGATTTTCCACAACGCTTCTGCTTTTAATTAGGGTAAGCGTTGCCGGCCATCTTTGTTTGGGTGTAAAAGCTCACCTGCTTTTAAATATTTCTAAAGCTACCATTAAAACAGCCTAAATATAACACGCACACAGTTGCATCTTGGGATGAATAAATTATGTGTCCCGAATGAGAGAATGAATGTATGTGTGAGACAGAATGTGAGAGTGGGTGGAAGCACTCATATGGTGTGTGTGGGGGGTGCATAATTAAGCACAATGAGGCGATACAAAAGACCAGACTGGTGGTAATTGCCGAGGTGAACGCTGCAAGTATTGGCAGCACCCGGGCTGCCGAGCCGGGGGGCAAGAACAGAGGGAAGGGCAGGAGGAGGGTGCCGAGCGCCGGCCACCCCGATGCAACCCAGGGTCTGGCTCTCCGAGGGGACGGAGGGGGACGGGGCACGTCCCAGCACACGAATTTACAAAGGAGGTAGCAAAATCAGCACCAAGCCCTCGCCCCCTGCGAAGAGCAAACGCTCGTCTCTCCTCCAGGTATCCCCGTTCCCAGCTGGCCGTCTGGACACCTCGCTCTGTCGCTGCATTTATCCTCGCAACTTTCTCGGGAGGTAGCGAAGCGCTATCCCTTGCTCCTGCCGAACGGGATCGGAGGAGCCCCAGCCTCCGTGCGTGAAGGCGGCTGGAGCTCGGCCAACGGCTGGCGCCGCGGGGGGGGAGGGGGGTTTTTTTGGCGTGGAGCCGCCGCAGGCAGGGCTACCCAAGCGAGCTCCAAACGAGCTCTTTTTCTGAGCAGCAAAGCTAAACAACCGGGAGGAAAGCTCGGAAAATGATGTGGCTCAACAGCCCGCTGAATCGGAGCCGGGGTCCATGCTCAGGGCTGCACCGCGCCGTGCACCTCTATCTTCAGATAGCACACGGGGCACGAAGCGATGCAGCGGCGCTCCAAGAAACCTGCAATCTGAGCATGGATTTAGCACTCTTAGGTCCAGCTTAGCGCCACCATCTCAAGCTGCCTTCTTCCCCGCAGCCAAGAGGCGACAAGAATAACTCAGTCGGCTTCCTGCGATCTCCCCCCTCCACCCACAAAAAAACTGAGCTGCTTCTCCTGCCCACTCCCCTTTAATCAGAATAATTACTTGTTTTTCTTTAAACTCAGATTTGGCTACATTTAGTGAAATTTCCAAACTGCCGGATGTTGTGTGATTTTTGCTAGGCTGCCGTTTTTCACAAAGTATGTAACTTTGCCATGAAATGTCTCAGTTTACCATACAAATTCTGCGCAGAGCAAAAATAAGATCTTTTACTTCTGTCTCCCTCAGGTAATATGCAGTCTTTAGTTTTAATTACCGTAGCTGTAATTCTCCACCTACAGAGGCCATCCAGATTAAAGGGAATTTTAGCAGCTGTCATTCCCGTGACTCAGTGGATCTGCACATGCAGACGCCCAGCCAGGGCCTGGGCTGCTGCCGCCGAGATGCACTTAAATGTAGCAACAAACATTTAAAAAAAAAAAAGTCTGGCCAAATTTAGAAGGGTATTTTCCTCCCAAAGTGCTCTGCAAGGAGAAGTGGCTAGTGAGAATTTATTAGGACAACAGATGCATTAATTTTATCTTGAATTTCGAGGCAAGAATTGGAAATGAGGATATCCTACTAGGTGATAAAACTGTCTGTCACAAGACCCCCGATTACATGTCACTCGCAGAGCGCCTGGAAAACACGCGATAAAAGAAGTCGGTGGAAGGGGGTGGGAGACTAATGCTTTCTAGAGCTCAGCACCTTGGACCACCACACTTTGTTGTATTTGTTCAGACAGGGAAAACGTGGGAGGTGGTGCAAGCACGCGGTAACAAGAGAGAGTTTCTCTATTTATCATTGCAAAGACTAAACACAGCAAATCCCATTACTACTGCAGGCAAGGGAGACTTTCTAAGCCCGGTGCCAAAGGGGTCGGGGCTGTTCCTCAGCCTCCTCTTGTGACTGGTGCTGCCCAGTGGCTCCCAGTAAACAAGCGGGCCAAAGCGAGAAATGTCCCTTGCCCAGAAAGGAGCAATCCTGCTCCTCTGCAGCGCGCCCAGCCTCCTTGCTGTGGGCGAGGGCTCAGCACCTTCCTGGGGACGTGCACACACCACGCACAGTGACTATTTGGATGCACACCCCTTCCCGTCTGGAAACGCAGGAAACTGAAGCTGTGGAGCTGGGCTCAAAGGCCGCAGGGCCGTCGGAGCAGGTCGGTTTTGCTGCTGCTGGGGCAGTGAATTGTCAGCAAGTGCCCGAGGAGCAGCAGAGTGAGGATGCTCGACCCCCATGCACCTATGTGCTGCCTCCTCATGGGCGCCCAGAGCCCGAGCGCGGCCGGGGGGGTCGCTCAGCAATCGAAGGGAGCACCGCTCGGCAGCGTAAACAGTAGGATGTGGTGGGAGCGGCGCAGCATCAACCGAGGAACAGCTTGGATTCACGGAGAAGGAAGGGCTGCACATTACACTATCTACTCGGGCTGATGCTGGTGCTTCCGATGCCTGAAAAGCTGCCGCCTCCACATCCTCTGCTGCTGGCACGCGAGCATCTCCTAACCCTCAGCAGCACCAGGATGAGGGAAGGTATCCACCCCAAGCCATCCCCTGCATCCCCCGAAGCAGAGTGAGCACAGCCCCGGGCTGTAACCACGCAGGGGTTATCCTGGGAGAAGAGCTGCACCGCCGGGCAGTGAGTGGGATGCCCTCCCTTCCCCTTCCCTTTCCCCTCCTCCTCCTCAGAACAAAGTGCCTCCAGCACACCTGAGAAGTTGGGATGCTCCGTATGAACCCCCCGGCAGTTTGGGTAAGCTGCCAGACCGTGTGTGCATACAGCTGCCTACGAGCAGTTTCTTGCCTCAGCTGGTGAGCTTTCCTACACCCATTCTTACCATCCCCGTTTCCAAACACACCCTACAAAACTGCCTCAAACTCAGCAAAAAAGGGCCCAAGAGCAGCAAACAACAGACAATTTCAAGTAGCTAAGACAACTCCTGAAAGAGATTTTGGAAAGCTTTTCCAGTTTGCAGAGCGGTGCCTTCTGCCTCCTGCCGAGTCCCCGTGAACAAGCGGGCGCGGGACAGGCTGCGCATGCGGGCAGCGGGGCCGGGGGGTGAAAATGTTGATGCACCTTCCCCCAAGCAAGCCCAGACACATGCATTTGGGTGCACACCTGTCTGTGAGCTGAGCTAAGAGAAGCCACGCTTGCAAACAGATGCTCTCGTAAACTTTCTGGCATGCATTTTCAGAAGACCTTTGGAAATCGGCTGCTATGTGTTTGTCCTAAGAAGCTGTCACAACAGTTTTCTGGATACAGCTCAGACTGCTAAACCCTCGTGGATGCTGCGGCCAATTTTGCATGGATATTGTTCTTGTCCTGTACTTTTCTAAGAAATATGTAACGGGATGAGCTGTGGATTGGTTCTGCAATGTTAGGGAGAAAAGTGTCATGAGAGGCGTGTGCTGCGTAACCTCATGGCATTTCCCCCACCTTGTTCTCTTTTAGAAACACGAAGGCTTAGATCCTTAGATCTCCCTTATTTTTACTTCTTAAGATGGTCACTGTTACAGCCAGAAGAATGAAAGGAAGAACAGACCTGTCACGCAAGGGGCAACGAAGCAACTTCTTTAGTCAGGGAAATTGCATGTACAGTGCAATGGGTTTTTTTTTCATCTTCATACGCAACCTCACCTGAATAAACTCCACCAGCCTGAATGATGACTAGAGACAGCCTTACGCTGTGCTACAGTAAGATGGCCTGTGCATCTTGGGTGCTTATGTCCTGTGTATCTGCATGCAGGTTGTGTATTCACGTGGGGGATACAGTGTTCAAACATCACAGAAGGGCAGAATTATTTATGGAGCTGATCTAGTCCTGGGAGAGCAGGAAATTACAACTCGGGGGGAAAAAAAAAGGAAAGGAAAATATTATCTGTACTTACAGTAAATGACAGGAAAGAAGAAAACAAAGTTCCTTCATCGTATCTAGACAGTTTGGCCAAGACTCCTTCCAAAATGGTGACAAACTACGAAGACAAAAAATACTGCAATTATTTTTAATAACTGAACAAGGGTGTAAAAATCAGCATCAGCTTCAAAGAAGTCAGTCGAGCTCTCAGCATTGCCAAAGGAACGGACAACCTGTCCCCGAGGGAACGGGCCGGGGAGCAGGGAGAAAGGAGCATTGCCTTTCAGGTGCTACGTCTCAGTGGGTGGGAATCAGCCCTCGGTGCCACGGGTGATGCTGGGGAGAGGAGGTGGGTGCAGCGCGCGGGGAAGCCGGCACAGCCTCTCCGGACGGGGAAGCTGCTGGCTCTTGCTCCCAGTACGCGGTGTCAAGCACGCAGCTAGCTGGGTAGTCTTGCAGAAGAATCGAACTGGCATATGTTGGCGGATTATGTTTAAAGGTCTCCACTGTATAATAGGGATGACTTGTTCTCAGAAAGTTTGAAACTAGAGGAAAACACACCCCACCATCTTTCTCCCTACGTACCAATTCCCCTCTGTGCTAGCGCAGCACACCAGACCTACACAACCACCCAAGGGAAATGCTGGCAGCTGAGCTAGAGGAGCCGACTCGGATGAAAAACAATTTCCAAACAATTAAACCTGACATTTTGGAATGTATTTCCCACTACTGTCACCTCTAAATTAATTTCTGAGGAGAGCATATGGCGATCTTGCACAAGACGAGTAATGTTGTCCGCACAACCTTATGTGTGGGAGCGGCGGCCACCTCTGCGTGCCACCCCAACGTCTACGCAGCAGCATTTAGCGGTGCCCCCCCCTGACCGCAGCTACCCCTCCGTGCCGTGGGGTGATGCTGACCATGGGGTGTTACCCCATCAACATAACACCCGTTCCTTAAAACCACTTCTGGCCCAGTATGGCAATCCTGCTAGCAGCGTATTACATCTCATGCAGTTCCTAATCATCAAAGAGTCACCATGAAAGGACTGGGAGATGTATGATCTTGCCTGTGAGAAACAAGAAGCCAATTCAACATCTTAATGTGTCACATTTTAATGGAAACACACATATTAAAAATGCAATGTTAACAGTGAATCACTTCACCTGAAGCCGAAGGTTACCTTTGCCACTAGGAGTGTTATCATTTCTTTGACGGTTTCCTCAATTAGTTCATCTATTTTTGAATGGTACTGGTGCTGAAGAAAAATAAAAGGAAAGGGGGAGGAAAATATTAGCATTGATCACAGGCAAGAGCTGTATGGTTGTCAGCCTCTTCCCTCAGTAAACCGCAATATGCAGTAGTATTAAACCAAAGAATTCCGCAGCTTATTACCCTGTGCTGCACTACAGTGGGCAGTGACCACCTACGCTTACAGGGGAGATGGTGAATGCAGGAGAATCCTACGTTAGTTTGCGAAGCACGGGCAAACCCTGCCCTCTTCTGTGTGCGTGCCTGCAGCTCCGGGAGCCGCACGCACAGGTCGGAGGGGAGGCTTTGCCGTGCCCAAGAGCACCAGCACCCAGTGCTCCTACGGACCCTGAAGTCCTTTTGCATCACTTCTGCGGGGGTTATCCTGTTCCTTTTTCAGATGGATCACACCTGGCAATGAGATTCCCGGGGGGGAAATGGGCAGCCCTTGCCCAGGGCACCGCAAACCCGGCAGCTGAGGATCTGCTGCACCAGGGAAGCCTGCAGCGGGCTGAACCACCGCAGGTGAAGCTCTGCACTTCCCAGCTACTGCAGCAACGCACGCGAATGCACGTTACACGCCGGGTTCAGATTAAGCACCCCTTTAAAAGCTTTGCTCAGTGACGATATATAGATTTAAAAACTCCCAACAAACCAAGACGAGGCTTTTTGTCTCGTGCAAAAGCCAGCAGGCAGCGCAGCCCCGTGCCCGGGGTGTTAGCAGATCCCACGGCACGAGCCCAGAACTGGCTGACCAACGCCGGTGCCTGCAGCATCAGCGTTTGAGTCTTCAACCCAATTTCTGCACATGCCAAACCTTGCTTAGCTTGGGAGCTCTGATGCAATCAGCTGCAATATGGCTAGAATAGGTACTAAAATACAGTCTTCTACTAATTTAGAAAAGACCTGTTTCCAATACAAGATTTAATTAGTGAAAACATACAGTATATTCTTATTTTCAATGGACTGAGAAAATACTGATTATGACTGCTTTCCAACACAAAACATTTGATTTTTCAGTCAAACATTTCAAGCACTGGTGCTAGTCACTATATTCATTACCACTTGGCATTAATATTGTTTTAAAATGTTAACATCAAATCACATTGAAAGAGACAAATCTGCTTTAAATACTAATCAGACTTTGGGAAGGAAGACTGTGAGGGCTTTACAAATGCTAGATGTTGGTCTCAGTGTCTGATCAGTAGTCTATGAACTGCTCTACAGTTTGGGGATTTTTTTCTATGGCAGCAACATATTAAAACAGGACTCTGGAAAAAAGAAAATAGAAGTAAGACACACTTACCCACTCTTTAGCAAACTTTTCAGATGATTGGGGACAGAAATAAAGAGGAAAGTGCAAAAGACAGGAAAAAGAACATATGAAGATAAACAATAAATAAACCAAAATCTTTAAAAAAAGGGGACATATGAGAACAGCAGCATCATGCACAGAAACAATAAGCAACGGAAAATGAAACGTGATCCAAACTTCCTTTTGCTGAAATACCAGAGATTGCTACCTGCAGTATTTGCAGGCAGTAAAACAGGGGGAGGGGAGGGGATTGTACCTAGCTGCTGACAGTCTCCTAGGGTTTTATTTTGCTCCGAAGAGGAAGGCGACTGGCTGTTGACAGGCAAGGTTCAGCGTTGGGGCAGCTGCACACCCTTCACCAGGATGCACCCGAAGGGCGAGCCCTGCTGCAGGGCAGGGGTGCACGGTGCAGCACACCGTGGCCGAAGACCTGGCTGGGGCCACGCAGAGCCTCACCCACGCGGGAGGACAGGCTGGCACTGCCACGCCACAGGCTGCGGTCTGCCGGGCCCGCTCAGAGGAAAAACATACGTGAACAATGCAATGTTTGCATTTGCAGTTCCCATTTCCATGCCCTGCTTTGCAGGTCAAGACATATACGAGTCCCTTATAGGGATCGTAGTTATGATTAATCTGTTTAGCGCAGTCAGCCCTTATCAGCTCCAACAATTGGCCTGGCTGTTCTCAGCACAGCTGGAGATGTAGCTGCGGGGTGACGGGGACCTGTAACTGCTGGGTGCGGGTAGGAGCTGCTGACGTCCTTGGCATACACAGCCGGGACCTCCTAAGGGAGATAAAGAAGGGACTGGGCATGTATTGGGGGTGTTTTCCCCATGACGTTTTCCTTCTGATCCTGCATTTTCTGCATGCACAGAAGACCTTGCAACCAAGGATTTAGCTAACTGCTTTCACTGGGTAAATCATGAGTTTTAACTCAAAAATGGCTAGCTACGTGCAAAACAATACACCGTGAAATGCACCGCCCAATGCATTTTCAATTAAAAGCTTGTTTAAAAAGCAAATAAGAGCCCTGATGGAATAAAACTGCAGCTCTGAGAGCAGGAGCAGACCCTGTGCTGGTGGTGTTGGTAGGGCTCTGACTGCTCGTTGCCATTGCGGTGGCAGTCAACTGGGGCAGACTCAGACCTGGTGCCAGGGCCAGCGACCGTGCAGAATAGGGCCCACGAGGCTGTGGGCAGCTCCTGGCAGCCGCAGCGGTGTGCACCCAGCGCAGCCCAGGCTGCAGCCCCAGCTCCACCTTGGGAAGATGAGCCCCGGCCAGGACGGGGTCGGAGAAGGCGGCGGTTTGGAAAATGACTGCCTGGTGCTGGCTTCACAGACGCCTGGCTCAGAGAGCGGAGTTTCCAACAGCTCCTTCTACATTTCTTATGAAAACGCCCAAGGTTAAAGATTGCAAAACTGGTTTGCTTTACCCAGCGTAGCCCCCGCTTTCGATTGAGTTCGTCGCAGCTTTCTATTAGCTCAATTATTACAATCCATAATCAGTGCACTACAATGATTCAACTTGACTTTATGTGATGAGTATCTTGCCTTGTCATGTAACAGATTGTGTGTACGTTGTATTTCTCTAAGGACCATCTGACCTTAGATATTAAATAGAAACATACTAGACCAACTGAGAAACATTTAATACATACATTTATCCCCTTAGATGTATTAAAAATTCAGAGGAAAAATAAATATTTAAGATGGTAAAGTATGTTTACCAAATGTTTTAACAGCTGCCTTTAGAGACAAGGAAATGGAAATGAAATGATGGGTGTTTGTTTCACAGGGTAATGCTCGCAAAATGCATTCAAGTATCTGTGGAAGTGAGTGTAACTGAAGGTAGTCTTCAAGGGAAGGCCATTGGGGTGGGAGGGAAACCGCAGGAGCGAGGTCAAAAAACGTGTCGAGAGAGCCTCTGCTCACGTACAGCTTGGGCCATCAGCAAAATCAGTCCGTCCTTTCTAATCGAACTGTCTTCTCCAGCTAGGTCTGAGCAAACACCCCTGCCTGAGCACCACGGTGGGCAATTTGAGCCCTTCTTGCTGCTTTTGAGCTGTCTGCCACGGGACCACGTATTTTAGGAGCCATGTGGTGGCTGCGGTGCTGAGGGAGAGTCCCATCAGCGAGGAGCGTCTGTCCCTCCCTCCCTGTCCATCTCTCCCCAGCGGGGCTGCAGGCACCCATGCACCGGGGGCGGGGGGGAGAGGGACTCAACGATGCACACACCCAGCTCCCCAAATTATGGAGGAAGACACAGATTCGAAACCCAGTTTCTCATCCCGCTGCTGTCTATCTGACTGGCTCATCATTTCCACTGGGGACTGGAAGAGGTGGGGTGGCGTTTTGTCCTCCCCCCACGGGCTGCAATGACAGATCTGTGTCTTTACCCCCCCAGCATGACCATCTCAGCGCACGGGTTTAGGCCGCTTCAAGAAGAGGAGATGGAGGTAGCTGAAATACGGAGCGGCACGAGCGAATGGAGGGGGAGGCAGGAACGCTCATTAAAAGGAAGAAAAGCAAAAAGGAGAGCGTATAAAATTCTGCAGCCCTAAACGGTAACTTATGCACTGATAATTTACATCTGCTTTACAGGTCTATTAGTTCAGCTATCTGTTAAAAACCTCATGCCCCAGCAACTGCTGCTTGCCACAGGAGTTCGGCTGCCTCCGAGCTGCCGTACCAAACACCTTCTTAAAGTGGCACAGGCAGATTTGCAGAGCTAATCCCCGCTGCAGCTGAGAGCAGCGGAGGAGCAACCGCGCTGCCGCCCGCTCCCCTCTCACTTGCAATTTGACTCAGGCCGAAGGTGTAATGGGACGGACGCTCAAAATTTGGAGGCAACTGTGGCAAGCAGAGAGCATCACAAGTCAGCATGGAAAGGCGCAGCGAGTGCCTGGTTGCGCTTTATCCAGACGCAGCTGATGTCACCGCCCTTGTGCCACCTGAATGCTTAACCTGACAGTTTTATGAATGCAGTGAGCTTGCTCAGTCATGGTATCGGGAGTTTGCTTCATGTCCAAAATGTCCCTGTCCCCTGTCCCCATGTGCTAGTATAATGCACAAGGGTTTGGTCCTGGTTTGCAGTGGGGAGCAACCATGGCCCTTCCTGGCTGACGGGGCACTGCCAGGGCAGATGTTGCAGCAGCCGCGGGCTGAGGGATTTGGGGAGATAAATGGCTATGAATGCGGAACAGAAAATGGTAGAGAAGTTCATGTCCAGGCTCGGACAACAAAAGCCCACTCAAGATCTGCCTCAGCTGACCTAGAGGACAAAGAACCTGATGATGATCTTAAAGGTCTTTTCCAGCCTAAACGATTCCATGATTCTATGATGAGCAGTTTGAAACCTCTCTTGCAAGGTGACTGTCACGAATAAAATGGCATAACTGAAACATGTATAAGAAAAATAAAAAGAACAGCTGGGTCTGATCCAAACACCACTGACATTAGGGTAAGGATCCCTGCTGCGTTCAGTGGCCTTTGGAGCAAGTCCTCTCAGAGGAACAGGGAAACAACTGAACAACTAAAAAATAAACCAAAACAACTTGCAATGATTTACTGCAAAAACTGACCATGGAAAGCTGCAGTGAAAGGGCTTATCTGGGAAATGCTGACAGGCAGGAGGGTAGGATAGCCGAACAGTACTTGTGAATTTATTCTAGACTGGTATAGGAATATTTAATTTGGCTTGAAGCCACTGTAGCAAAACGATCATTATGATGCATTTAATCTAGTCCAATTTACCATGTCTTTCTAATTCACAGATCAACTCACAGAAACTTCAACCTGCAGCTACAGCTTCAGAAGAAAAAAAATACATCAGCAATTAATTAAAACAGGTTTGTTGTTTGGCAAGTTGAGTCATTAAGAACCTGGAAATCCAGGATCATCAAGCTTACTGATTATAGCCAGTACTCAAGGAAGGCACAGCAGCTGGAATTTCAATCTACTTTTGGAAGTTATCTATTTAGTTGTTTTGGTTTTGTTGGTTTTTTTTTTTTCCTTACAAGCATCGCACCAACAACTTGGCACTTCTATTTTCCTTCTGTTTGTCTACAGAAAATAGTCATACACAGAAAGTGTGTCGCCGACACCTGGCCCCAAGGTGCAGTTAATGACTCAATACCTATGGTCATCATGCATCAAGCGAGCTTAAGAGACACCTTATGCACACCACAGTTCTTGCAAAAAGTCAGTCCTAAGCGACAGGGATACTGAATGTTTATATTCATTAGATGTATTTGAGAGCAACCCCCTGCGTATTCATCTGCACACTCTATACAGCAGGCTAAACCCACAACTGATACAACGCCTCTGAAACTAGCACAACAGGAGATGGGAGATTTCATGAGATTGCCTTTAAAAGCTGTGAAAGGAAGAACCTGCATTTTTACCTCTTGGCCCATTTCCATACTGCAAAGCTTTGTTGACTGAGCTTTGGCATCCACCATGACATTAAACATGGTGCATATTGATTGAGGGACTCGGAAATCTGTCGATCGGCTGGTTTTCTGCAGCTTTACTTCAAATGCAATCCTGGTTCTGTTAAGGAGAAGAGAAAAAGACGTTTCAGTTGCTTTTTAAGATACTGAAGCCGATAATAATGTGAAACAATATTGAGAAGAGTTCAGCAAAGCAGAAAGCCAAATGCTGCTGGGAGTGCCGCAGTGCAATTGTTACAAATGGGCTTTTACTAAAAATGATTTTCCAGTTTAAAAAGAAACCTGCTTTCCAGAATACACACTATTTATAAAGTGTGCAACGGTTTCAGGGAAACTATGACTTTCTCGTGCTTGATAAACAGTGTGATGATGTTACAAACAGCAGTGTCAATGTACACCTATAATTTGGTTGCAATAGCTGATTTATAACCACAGACAAATAGCAAGCCTGACGCATTAGAGGAAGCTCCTGTTGCTCCATGATATCAACTACAAATAACAGAAGCTCGCTCATCGCTTGACTGAAAGGACATTGCCAGATCATCACGGTTTTAGGTCTGCATGATTTTGTTTGCTTGCTGAAAGTTCCCAATAGTCTCGTAAGTTCACAGAAGTAGTTTTCCTGAGGCATAAATACTCACCAGAACACCTCTGCAAAATGTGCATGGGCGCATGGGCGCATCGCATCAGCCCGCACCTCACTGCTCTCCTGAGGTTTCACTCAGCTCCAATTTGACATCCCTGGCAGTTACAAACCAGTTACACCAAGAGCTTTCTCATGCCAAAGCCTGCAGGATTTGATCCCGGGTTGTACTTTAAAATACCAAGGCATCTGTGACTCTACCATGGGGAATGCTCTGCAGTACGGTGGGCATTGCCTTGCCTTTCTTTGGAGCCCCTCTGCAGATTCCTGAGGTACTTCACTAATCTAACCTAACACAAAACAATTATCACATCAGACAGAATCTGCCAACAAATTAACATAGGAGCTTCAATTTAGAAATAACAAATAATATCAGCTGCAGCTCAGGAATAACTCTGATCTTGAAAGATCCCCCAAGGGTTATGCAAATGAAAACTCATTTACAAATGTGAAACTCCCTTCTTGGGATGAGATCTGGGCTGGTACATAGGTCCTCCTGCCCGGATTTATTAGCGAAACAGGCCTGCCTTGCAAGGGCTGCTTTCCTGACAGCACCGAAATACAACCAAGCGCGGAAGGCGGGGTGGCTCCTCCATGGTATTCAACAGTTCAGAGACAGACGCGAAGAAAAATGTTGTGTCAAACTGAAATTGCTAAAGAAACCTTAGCCAGGCCCTGTTTGCAGGTGATATAAATAGGGAAGGCAGCATATTGGTTTACATCAGCAGTGGCATTTGAACTGATTTAATTACCAGTGCCAGATTTAGCCTGGACTCGGGGACTAGAATCTTGATAATTACTGAAAGGACCCAAAGTGACTGGGATTTTCCATCTCCTTGCAGAGATGAGCATGTTCCTACTTACTTATGCTCAGAACCATTATATATAGTCATACCATTACAAGCTGGGCCAGGTTTTTACAGAGGGGCAACATATTTGTAGAAAGGTTGAAGCAGTTGGGAGAAAAAACCCGGCTTTCAGGCACACAAGCCCTTCTTCAGATATACCTGGAAACTTGCTTATTTTGCCCAGTTATCTCAGCTGAGTTAACCCAGTCTGATTTCTATAGAACAGTGCAGCTATAACTGCACTGCAGGTGTAGCAAAGGTGCCTTGGTTCCAGTTTAAAAAAAAAAAAAAGAGAAAATAAGTGTTTTGCTGGTGGGGCAGGGGGCAGAGCAGAAAGCAGAGCTCCAGCACTGGCTTTGCTCCTAAAGGACGGTCTGACAACTGGAGGACAACTGAAGCTCAGCGTTCATGCCAGCCAAAGGACCAAAGACGAGCCGCTGCAATAAAGGGGGACTTGCTCAATGCCAAAGACATCACGACCATCTCATTGCACTCAAAATGTACTGGGTTTTATTCCAGAGCAAGCCTTGAGAGCTGTCTGCCTTCCAGTGGGCGAGTCTCCTGCCTACATTTCAGGGACCAAACGTGCCTTCTCCGATGGTGACGTTGCATATCCAGACTGTGAGGAATGTGCGAACAATAAATGCCACGCTCGCGCTTGCAGAGTGGCCAAGGCAATTGTGGTACAGAACAGCCACATCACACATTGCAGCTAATATTAGCATCTACCAGCTGTATTTGGCACCCATTTTTCCTTTGGTTCATCTCTTTATCCATTGATTTCTGCACAATGGAATGCAGAGTTCATTTCTTCCTCTTGCCTCATCACCTCTGAGGCCAAACAGATATAAATTACCGTGGAAAGGTTAGAAATTTAACCTTAACATTTTGTTTTCAAAATGACAGCTGCTGACATGTTTAAAAGTTTTTTAAGGAAACCTCTCTGTTTTGGAAGATCTGCAGGTGAGTATCCTGCAAAGTGGCTGACGATACAACACCTTTTCTCAGTTGACAGCAGATGTGAAGCCTGTGTGCCAAGCTACACAGCATCCCCTTTCTGGGATTGCTGTTTTGCTTGTGTTTTCATGGATCTGTGTTTTTTAGGTGGGTGCTGGGATCTTACTTAGGGCTTTGCCTTCAGCACTCAACCCCACCGACATCAAACTGCATTTACAAAGACTTGACCTCACTTGCGGCACCAACAATAAATAACATCCCATAAAGCTTGAAAGAATGGATGATTTATTGCCTTACTGTGAATATACACCCTCCAGAGTCTCAACAGAGAAGCGCTTGCTTGGGAGAGCCCACAATTCACAGCAATAGGGTGGCTTTCCCCCATGTCTGTGCTGGGCAGAGGTGAGCTGGGGTGACTAATAAATGGTGGTTGAAGTGAAGCTTCATTGATAATAAGACAGAAAAAAACATTGCATCCTGTGAGGTCCTATGAGAAACGTGACTAGTTCACTCATGGGCACATACCTTTTCACGCAGGACTCAATCATGTCACTCGCCATAAGCTTCAAGCGTTGCTCTAAGTGCTTTCCAAACTCTTCCTCAGGCCAGTGCAAATCCCGAATGAAGGTCTGTAGGGCATCGAGTTTCCAGAACAGATCTTCTGAGGTGCCTGATCCGTTGCTGGCAGGGCAAAATGAGAACAAAAGTCATAAGTGGCATCAGGCTCTTTGTAACCTGATGTGGAGACCATTCCTGCAACAAGTGTAGAGCAGACAGTAGTTTCATACACAGGACAACGCTGGCAATCTCCACCATCAGGATTTTGAGTTTTACCATACAGTTGCCTAATCTACCTTGCTGTCATCACCCACAAAACTTTCCAGACCAGATGAGTAAGACAACATTATGAGTTACACATATTAACAGGAAGAATGTGTGTATGGTAAAAATCAGCCTTAGTTAATAACCACATTAACGTATGTGATTATTAAGAATTAAGGCCAGAAATCGTGGTAGAAAATCCTCGATCAGTAATAACTGCCATACTAGACTGTATGCAGTTATTAAGATTTAGGGTTTCATGCAATTCTCCCCCCTCCAAATTATCTCTTGAGTTTGCCTTGTTCCCCGCAGTGAGGCCCCGTTTCCAGGTAAGGGACAGTGCTAACAAGTGGTGAGCGAGGACACGCTTTATCTCTTGAACAGCTGAAAAAAAATCGGGGTAAGTCAATTGAGCTAAGGACACTAGACATCTCATATCCAGGAGTTTTGGCAGGATTGACCGCTGCACCTTTTCACAGATCTGCCTCTTGCAAAGGCATCTATAGGACAACAATTTTCCATTGTTTTAAAATTTATTTTGCAACATCTTTGGCCTGTCACAAAACTCTGAATTTCTCTCCCAAGCTTATGTTCTCATACCCACACCCCTGCCCAGATGGAAGTCTTTGGTCCTGCAGTGTGTAGCTACACCGGCTCTTTTCACATTATAATTGTATCTCAAACCTCCACTTGCAGAATAAAAATACAGAACTGGATTGCGCTCTGTTTGTGCAGAGAAATTTATGCATCCATATCCCTCTTCTCTCCCGCTCTCCTTCTCCCTCACTTTTTTCAGAGCAATTACCAAGGGAGCTTCAAGAGTTTCAACCCCCTCCTCGCATACCACTAATGCTAACACGGAAATTTAGAAGATATTTAACACACCATGCATTACCACTCGTGCTGACATCATCTATAGAAACAGATGAGGGAGGGTGTTTCTATTGTGACAGATGCCAGCTGCATTGAGTTAATGCTAGAGGAGACCGGAGCTAATGCATACACGGCTACTGCGAGGTGAGAACCGTAGTCCCAACATGCTAGAGGGGTCCTGCGGGGTCCTGTGCTAACAGAGTTAACGAGAGAAAGAATGAATCGTCTCGGTTGTAGGAGAAACGAGTCTGACACTAAGCAACAGGTAACATGTCCTTGATGGAGGGGGAGGGTGAGTAAGAGGAAACCAGGGCGATGAAAAGATAAAGAATCAGGCATTCCCTTTAACCAGGGGACCAGTTCGTACAACAGTCTCGAGTGTTCATCTACTGCCAGTTTTTAGTTTCACCTGGTTCAAACCTGTGCTTGGGTATGAGTAAGTTTTAACAGTCTAAACCCAGTTTTGGAAATGCATGAATTTATGTTTTAAATAATTAAATACGTACAAATACAGTAATTGGTATTTACTACAGCAACATTATGACACCCGTTCGGTTGCAAAATTTTTAAAGTATTATTCTTAGTCTTTTTCTCACTTTTGACTAGGGCTCCGTGCAAGTAAACAATACAGTACATTAATTTCCAAGATGCACTGCTAATATTTTGCTTGTGAGCACCGCAATTGCTCTACAATCACGCAGGCAGCTTGCAATGCACCATTGATGCTCAAGCATTTTCAGAGGCATTAGCTCATTTTCTGTCATGACATGATTCTTATCTTTTCAAGGGCAATACCACAAAGCATGCACAGAGAAAGATTAAAACTTTCAAGTACTCTTTACAGACAACTGCCTAAGCTAGCCTTTAATATAGCTATCTTAGCATGAATATGAGTTGTATAGCTTTGAAACATAAATGACCATGCTAATATTTAAAAAGTTTTAAAAATGTATTAAAAAATCAAACATCAGTGTTTGGTTTACTTCTGGTTCATTACCACTGCTCTGCAATAGAGCCTGGACAAGGCTAATGGCAGAGGGATTTTGGTGGACTCCAGGTGTAGATGTAATTGAGGGTGTTTCAGTAACAGCGATGGGGGTAGTTTTGGGGGGCTTTTTCAGTTTTATCTTTTAAGTGAGAAGGTAGGGAAGAAGCAACACATCTGTGTGGTGCTGGCTGAGATCACCCCATGCCAACCCTAAATAACTCTCTAGGAATTTGGATGGAGAACTGGCAAGATCTCAGTTCTAGGACATCTCGGGAGATGAGCTGCCTCAAATGCCAAGATTTGGGTTGAGCTCACTGTGTGCCACCCTCCACACTGCTTGGTGTCTGGGACTTTTAAGGGAAATCTGCCATAAAACCAGAAAGTTGCCCAATCTGTGCTCAGGATTTGTGGTATGTCCCCCCGGAGCTCCACCCCTGCAGCCTGGGACGCTCGGATGGGGACCTGGGAGCACAAGGCTCCTACAGATCGACTGCTTTGACACAGTGCCCGATTTTCCAGGCCATAATCCAAAGCTCACATTGAAAATATCTTTCTTTAGTTGGTCGTGGCATTATTCAGGCTGTAATGATGGCTATGGAGCTTCAATTTTTCTCTGGGGCCTCCCTCAACACGAATAAGAATTGGTGCAGGTCCTCCTCTTTCTGTTTCACCAAAATCAGGACAAAAATTATTATCTGGGAAATGCAGAGTTTCCATTAAATAAAATTCACTTTTAGATCTACATCTGGTCCACAGAAATCGGTTGACTGGCATTGAAATTTGCCCATCTTCTCTTTTGGACAAAACTCTTTGCTGAGACACATAATGTCACATTATAAGCTCTGTGGTTCGTATGTTCAGACCATGTCCTGTTGTCGATGGCTATTTTGTAAAGCAAGATACTTGCTCAAACTCTCAGCGGGAGTAAGACAAATTTTCAAGGTTTATACAAAAAAAAAATCCCTCAAAATACACATGCCAGAAATTCACGAGTGTCTCATTCAGAAAATGTCTAATTAACTGTATCACTCTAAAGTTTTATATAATGCACAGAAACAAACAATACATATCCATGCCAAGATTACTTTAAATTTAAATGAGATCTAATTTGAACTGAATACACACTCAGAATCATAAATAGCAGCCATCCATGACGGTGCAGAAAAGCTAGGCATTTGTGGGATGCCTAGTGGGATGTTAACTGGTAGATTTGGTACTTTAGGGAGATTCACATTTGGTAGATTCACATTGGGCAGATTACTTGTTAAACTCCTGTGGAAGAAACAGACAGAAAGAAAAAATACCATAACAGTGACAATGCAGATGTAGCAGAAGCACGTGACACTCATAAACAAATCTGCAAAGTTCACAGCACGACGACGGTTAAAAAACTAAAGCAAAACATTTCAGAAGGAAGCATGAGTATGGAAGCTTAAGTGTACTGGGTTTGCAGTCTGCAATAAAAAGCAAGTTACTGAAGAAAAAAACCCAGGATGAAAAGAGGAAGAATCACAAAGTAGCAAATTAACAGAGTACTCAAACACCCACAGAAGATAACTCCACCTTCAAGTCCTGCTACCATTTCAGAGTGCAGAGAGCAGCGTTTCCTTGGAAAAATCTCTCTTGTAAGGAAGCGGAGTCTCAGTTCTTACACACTCAGGCTGGATGAAAGAGCTGAACTAAGAGATCTACTAGGGAATTGGGATTCAAAATAATAAACAGAGAGGTGGAATTCCGGCCCTGCAGAAGTCCGTAAGAGTTTTTCTTGCCACCAAATTCAGTGGAGTTGGGATTTCATTCCAAAACATCTCTGTTTATTTTGTACTCAACAAAGATGTGCCAATCTGGAGCAATGAAATGGTGAACCACAAGGCTCTTCCTCAGCGAAGACTTGTGCCCTGACCTGCCCTTGCATTCTTGGGCGTGGAGAAAATGGGTCCCGCAGGTTGTCCAGCTCTACATACATGCGCTGGGAATGAACAGCACTTAATAAACCCAGGGCTGGTACGTGACTATTTCGTGGCTGGAAATGGACCATGGGGTAATTAAGACATTCAAAGGTTAATTTATGAAGCATGTGTATTTGGGCATCGTGACTTCGAGAAATATTTTCAGACATGCAACTGTTATGCAAATAGAGATCTTTTAGAAGTGGGCTAGCATATTGATTTAATGGGATGCACTCTCCTGAAACAATGTGCGGTGTAACAGCACCGCGTGCCCAAAGTTTGCAAAACACCCTGACGTATTCTACTGCACTAGATCTCTAGATGTTATAATTGGTCTAACTCTGTTTTAACGACTATCTCATCACAGTTATCCTTTACATGCAAAATAAAAATGTCATGGGACTTGGGAATCAGCAAAAGATAGAACTCGATTACCCAACTCCCCTGTTTCCTGGCTCACGGAAGAAAAGCCAGTTTCAGAGGTACATCTGACTTCTGCCTTAATCCAGTAACGCTGTATGGCACACTGGGACACAATCCACAGGTGGTTCTACAGTCCCATTTTGAGGAACAAAACCAGATGTTTGACACCGTTTTCACCGGATCATTATTTGGGCTCAGTGACAATGGAGTCAGGACTTCGGGATTTCAGATTCACCCTGCACTGCTGAAGCTACTGGAAGCTTTCCTGTCGATGTGCACGGGCACAGCTTCAGCGTTCAAACTCCCCTGCTCTCGGTGACCGCACCAGCACATGCCACCTTAGGGGGTCTCTCCCATTCCCCTGAATTAAAATAGTTATGGCATAGGCAGCATTATCTGGACTCTTGGAAAACTGTCAAATTACATACTATGCCTTTCCAGGCATATAAAAATCTTCGCAACTTCCTTGAGTCATATTTTGAACTCCCTTTCTTACCGCAAGTTTTATATATCAAGAATCGAAGTAATGGAATTGAGCTGGCTATACTGAATAAATGTTTCCTAATGTGACAGAAGATTTGAACCACATCTCTGCAAGAGCTCAGTTCATCACTGGTGGTAATTCTTAGGGAATAAATTGTATCCTCATTCTCCCTTTGTGAATAAAATCCCTTGCTGGGGAGGAAAACCACAATCCAAAGTCTTCTTCTAGTCAAAAAAACCCCCTGTATGTTCTTGTTTTCTTTTGTTTCTACGATTCTTAGTAGATTTGACTTCCCACTATCTGCTTGTTCTCTTTGTTAGGCAGTAAGCAGATAGGAGAATTTGCTACCGTAACAAAGCTGTCCATTGTCTCCATTCATACTGTATCTGCTATTAAGATGATATGATTATTGAATGAGACACAGACTCCATAGTGATTGAGAGAGTGTTAAATCTTCAGAAATGGCAGTGCATGTGGTTAGATACTGATATGGAATAAATAAAGAAATAGCAAGAGGTGGACAACATATAAATGTATAAGGAAAAGCAACTTAAATAACTTAGCCAGATGGTAAATACATAAATCAGAGGACCTTTGGTTTTAATATTAAAATTCAAGAAGTGACAGTGTTATATTAATAAAAACACTGTATTAATAAAATATGACTTCTAGAGTAAACAGTATACTATATTCACACGGAAACATATTTCTTTTATACAACACATTATTTTGCTGATGCAAGGATATGTTGCAAGAATAAGTTAGTACGCTTAAAACAAAACAAAACAGCAAAATAATGGAGTATATTATGTTAACATACAGTAACTAATTTTAAAAATATTCTCCTGAATTGACATGCACAGTTTTGCAGGTTCAACCAATCTAATTATCTGACTAACAGTTGCAGTGAGACCTGTAAAAAATGATTAATATTACCAACAAATGTTCCAGCCTGCAGTTGCTCAGACCATAAAACTACAGGTCCAAGATGAGAAACTGTTTCTAGAAGCCAGCCATGCCTATTTAATATAGATGGCTAAAAATAACCTCAGCCATCAGGCAGGGAATGTGGGCATTTGCATCAACAAGATGAGGGCTGTCTGATTTCAGACGACTCAGCTTCAGGACTGGATCCTGATACGTTTGATAAAAGACGCACACTCCGGAGCTGTACTGCTTGTTTTCTTGGCTTCTTCTGATTCACCCCCGTTTGTGTCTGGTAGATGTGTAAATGGCTTTCACCTGTACTGTCTGCTGGGAAATTCTCATTGCAAACAGGCTGGCAACATACCCCTGGACAACATCCCAATGCTCACACTGCACTGCAGCACCGATCACAGAAAACAAGTCCAATTGCACAGGGGCTGCTCCTCTAGAGCTGCCCTAGTACTGAAAGGAGGGCAGAAAAATCACCGTGGTTTTACTGAGTCGTCTCCTGGCTTCAGAACAGAGCTAAACGAGACGCTTGTCCATACCTAAAATGCTCAGTTCCTATGGGATGCTTGAAGTGATTTAGTGACGGAAGACGCAAACGCCTGTCTCTTCCATCACTATAAATGCTCACAACCTCACTGCCTAGGCTGAGCAAATGCTCAAGAGCAAATCTTTTCACAAAAGCCTTGATGTGAAGCAAAGAGCTTGATAGTGAAGTAGGCAGTCAAATCTGTGCTCTTCCTCTGACTGACACCCAGAATAGCAACAAAAATACTCATTTTCACTACAAAGGTGCTTCTTTTAAGGGGAAACATTTTTCACTAGCATTTTGTAGTAGTACAACCTTATAAAATGATTAGTATAATCATACTGTTCAGGTTCTTACATTTACATTAAAGATACATTTATAAATAGTTTGCAAAGGGTTAGTGAGCAATTAATAGATGCTAAAGCCAGGACTAGAGTGAGGTAGAGACAGCCATGGGTCAATGAGTAACATCCCAGTCAAGCGATTGAAACTGGTTGTCATTGCACCAGCTTTAGCATTTGCTCAGAAAGATCTTCCAACACAGACACACACAGAGACGCACACACACACGTACGTGTCTGCTGGCTGCAAGAGAAATCGGCGTTCTCTGAGAAGCTAGCATGAAAAAACTCCCCATTGCAAACCCTACTTTTCCAAGACCTCTCAACTCACCAGAGAACAGACCTACTCTGTATCCTCCGTATTTGGATGACTGTGCGAAGGACAAGTGTTCCACATTTCTCTGCGTGGATTCATACAAGCACACCAGCTGCTCTAGCTATAGGGCACGGACCCCCTGCAAATTCAGCAGCTCTGCAGAGGCAGATTACAGAGCCCTCATGAGCACATTACATCGATGCTTTTTCCCCCCATGTTTTCAATACTTAACCGTATCTCTCTCACTGTTTGTGATTTCTATACCTAACTCCTTGTAGCATAAGGTGCAGAGTATTCAGCAATGAAAATAGAAGAAATACATGCTTGCAAACTGCCATCTGGTCAGGTTATGAAGGGCTACATATTTCAGCCTTGATTGCAAGCACGAGCATAGAGAAACCCTTTTAAAAGACTCTACGTTGTGGAATAATTTCTTGGTTAACAGGAGATAATGAGATTCTCTTCTCACAATTCACTGTAGAGATCCAAAGCAGGCAACAGTAAGGTCGGTGGAACGGACAGCCACGATGATCTACTTTTTCTGGCCAACCCTTCAGGCAAAGGAAAGCCATGGAAAAATACACTGCAGTGTTCCCAATTCCCAAAAAGCTCTGCTGGAGAGGTGGCAGTGGAAGGCCATGACTTGGATGGGAATTGGCTGGTCCAAACTATTTGAGAATACATGGCCAAGAAAAATACAACTGTGCTGCAGTGTGGACATGTGGGGGGAGAAGGAGGTAGATGCATGAGGGCAAATCGAACAAAATGTCTCTGACCTGAGTTTTTCGCAAGTTCACAGCCGATCAGACAAAGAGGAGCAGGCAGTCTGCCCAGGAGGCAAAAGCTGAAGATGCCTTACATTTAATTCTGAACAGTGCATCCAAACTGTCATAAGATCCTGGGAACGACATCCCTCTTTCCCCTTACACAGCATGTGCCACCCTCTGCACATTTGCTGGCATCTTCCTTCGCCGGGTCACATCGCGTTAAGCCAGCATTTGCAACTTGCACTTTTGTGTGCGAGACACAAGAAAAAAATACCAACTAGTGAAAAAAAAAACCAAACCCGGAGTGCATCTTTTCACCAGATGGACACTAACTTCTTGTGAAAAGCACCCACTTTCCTGCTGGAAGAAATCTTTTAAATACCCGAGTCTGTAAGACAGATAGTCCATCCTGGGCTTTCACTTGAAACTGCAACGCTCAAAGCACTCTGTAACTGGAACTCCAGAAGGGAATTACCATTACAAGAGAACTAAGAAAAGATCGTTTATAACTATCAAAAATAACTTGAAAATAATAAATAATGGCATACCCAGGGATAAAGCATTTTGAGAGGCAAGTACCACAGCCAAGTACTTACAGACATCTATAGTTAAGCCACAAAAGTCATTAAAAGCCAAAATGATGTCAGCTTCTGACAAAAGAAAAAAGCAGAATGAATTGCTTATTGACTGCTTGACTGGGGTGGACAGGTACACAGAGTTAGCTGCCTCCGTTTCATAAAAGAGAAGGAAATACAAACATATTCATTACCAAAGCAGAGCTCTGAAACTAAAGTTAATGCTAACTTCGAAGTGCAATTCTGCTTGAAGGAGTGGCTGTAAAAATGGCATTCTCCTACTCGAAAGATCTATTTCTTGTATGTTTTCTGGGTCACATCTGCTTATTTGAAACAAGATTTTTTAGGATTTTTAATCCTGTTAGCCTGCAGACCAAAGACAGCAAATGGAATGTGAGAGAGAATCCTGAATGCCAGCCACTTAACCCCACTCAAAACAGAGGGGATGATCAGGTGTCAAGAAAGGCCTGAGATTTGGCAGGCAGAATCCTTATGGATGCTGAGGATGCACAAGAAAGAAAGGAAAAAACCTGGGTACTCAGACTCCAGGTTGCATATGGGAGGCTGGCTGCCGAACAAAATCTCTTTTCCTCGTAAACGGAACATATTTGGTGTGAAAAGCCCTAAAAGACCACACGTCTTTTATACAGCAACCTCTGAGAGTGCAGTGCCACTTAACTTTGCCTAGAGAATCACAAAAAAAGCAGGGAAAATAGTCTTTCCAGAGCTCAGCTGGTCCGAATCCCCCGTCAGAGCCACCATCAGACTCGTGCTGCTTGCAAAGGGCTGATCTTTCTCTTTTAATACCTTTATTAGGAGGAAAAGTCAGTTCTTTTCCTTTGTAGGATCTGATTTGGCTTTTTAGAGCAAGCATGACAGGGTTCAGCAATGCTTCAAAACCTGTGAAATAACAACAGTAATCCAAAGCACATGCCACATTTCTATCATTCACCAGCTCTGGAGTTCAATTTGGGTTTCTCTCAGGCTATTCATTTGTTGCTGGTAAATTCCTAGTTCTCCAGGTTTAATAAGTGATTCTGCTTGAACCATCTTGCCTGCGTTTCGCTATGGTTTCTGCAGGCCTAATCCTACAGGCATGGGAGCTGGGACCCGGACGTGGGGACACGTGCGGCCATCAGCCGCAGGGCTGGCGCGAGGAGCACAACATCGCACTATCCCTCCACGGGGCGGGTGGAAAAAATGAGTATTGGGGAGAGTAAGTACAGCAGCGACTCACACAGGTTATTGGGCTGGGCTGAACACAGTGAAGCAAGGTTTTTCTGTTCTGAAAAGGAGCTATTTGAGTTCAAAAGCAGTATTGGAAAAGGCCTTTTAGAATGGGATCCAAAAAGCCATGCCAGCTAAGAAGGTTTTCACATTTTCATGCTTCCATGTCCAAAGGCACACGGTTCAAACTGAGGCAGCAATGCATTTCAAAAAGTAAATACCATTTCCCTCATTAACTTGAAAACCCTGAAGAGATCAGGCCGTCTATTTTTAGCATTAAACTAGAAAATCTAAAGCACTTTCTGCATGTCCAGTCTAACGTTTGCTAATTCATCTCTGTATGAATCTCCATCCATTTGCACCCAAATTCCGATTGTATCAAAGGAGGTTTCCTTACTTTACTGGCTCCCATGACTCCCGCTCAAAGCCCCTGTGAATTGACTGTGCAATTGAGGACTCCATCAGATCGACATATCTAACAACAAGTGGAGCAAACAGGTCTTGGAGGTGTTTGTGGAATTTTCCATTGCACAAATTATCTAGAATAGATAAATAAAAGTATAGTAAGACACTACTGTTACTAAAAGCTCTGTAACAAACCACAGCGTGGCACTTCATTACACAACGAATTTGTCAGCGAACAGGAAAAAACTTCAAGAACGTAACAGGAGCTGGCATCGGGCACCAATCTTACTCCAAACAAATAAACAGACAATGAATCTTCTTTTCCATTAATGCCAAACTTACATTATTACTTCCTGTGAATAAAATGGATGTAAGAAATACAGCATGGCAAACATTATGGCTTTTTCAGGTAGGAGAATCATTTCTTCTTTGGTTACTCGCTACCACAATGCTGGAAATTGCTCTCTGAGGATGAGTCCTGGCTTTTTTAGGTGGTCGTAGAAAGCTAACTGGGGCCCTGGCCTGGGACCTAACTGAAGGCAATGCCAATTCCGCCACCAGCTCCCCAGGGAGCGGCAGGACCACTGGGGATAGTGCCAGATCCTCATGGGTTCTGAAGGCATGGGCCAACGTGCTTTGGAGAAGAGCCTTATTTCCCAAAGCACTATTCTTTTGAGCTACTCCTGCTTCCATTTACTTTAACATTTTCCTCCCTTCAATAAAATCTTTTAAAGCAGGGACTATTTTACCCCCTGTTAAATAAATGCAGTACACACATATAAAACGATACACACATTTAATGACAGTGAGATAGAGTGCCTAATCCCCTGCTTATCAGGCAGCCGTTACCAAGAGACTTGAGAAGATGAAGCAAAATAAAAGTTCAACTTCTCACTTCGACTGAGGCATTTGATTTAAGGGGTGTCTGTGTGCTTTTTTTCTAGTGGAAATGGAACAAAATCGAGCTGATGCTAAGAGAGTGTGTACTGTAAATCCCTACCCATCTCCGTTCTCTGAGCAGTACGGAGAGGCTGAAAGTATTATCAGTAACCTGAGCTGCCCCCTGAAAAAAGAAATGATCAAAATACAATACATACAGTCACTACGGAGGGAATCGTTTAGAAGCTGAAAGAGCGGAAAGCTGTCCCAGGTGTCTGGGGGTTGCACCTCTAACGCAGCATCCATATCCACTGCAAACAGTGACAGGAAGGTCTCCGCGTGCTCAACCATTAAGTCTGACCACCAAGCAAAGGCCTTCAGAGTTGGTAGAAAAAGATAACAAAGAAGTATATTAGTTCTAATAAAGCACAGGGAAAGACATTAGGCCACATATCTCAAAAAAAAAAAAAAAAAAAGTGCATCCCATGGAAACTACCTTTATTGTAAAGAGAACAGTGCTTTAAAGCGCTAGCCTGCACGGACAGTGCTAATCACAGGAATTAGGCACCGCTATTTTAATACAAAGGTTTCCTGTAGAGGATCTATTCAGAGCTCCACCGTAAAGGCATGCAGCTGTAACGTGGCAGAGAAGGTTATGTCTGTTCAATTTACAATAAATGACTTCACTCATCTTTAATTATGCTAATTACCAGAAAAATCGACTAAGTCTTATTCTAAAGTACAGAAATTTGGGATTTTCTTCACTGTGCTCGTGGGTTTGCGCCTGTGTTTTTCAACAGTTTAAATTTTATTTGGATTCACTATTTCTGTTTGTCTTGAAAAACTAGAAGCCTAAGACATTAGAATCTGTCCTAAATCACTCACACTCTCCTTTAGGGCTATTTCAAGCATCACCAATAAAAGTTATTACAGCACTGTTCGTTTTACATGGTTAGCTATACACATCCATCGAAACACACTACCGCCTTCATAATGCTACTGATTAGGAAACCAATTACAAAGCTCTATTATCAACATGCCAAGAAAAAAAAAAAAAAAAAAAAAAAAAATCTACGGCAAGCCTGTATTTTCACAGAGGCAGGAAAAAAATATATCTAAACTGGAAAACCAAAAAATATCAGTGAAGTAACTCATTCTCATGCACATGGGTCCTTAGAATTCACTGTACGGGCTCTCTGACGTGACATTCACATCATACATGGCTCAGATGTGAATGCTGCAAACGCATGCATGCGTGTTTAGTAATCACTTCTGGCTGGGAACATGCAATATGAGAAGTGCTGTCGTTAGGACCATGTGCTGTCATTTTGAAGTGATAGGAAATTACTTGGGGACTTAAAGGATCTGAGAAACAGCTTTCCGGCACTTTGCAAGAAAAAGAAACCTCTAGCGCAGGCACGAGACTGGAGATGAAACGGAAAAGACTGGGAATAGATGAATCAGTTCAAAGAGGAATTGCCAGTAAGGGAGGGGTCTTTTTTGCAGATTTTAGCAGGCATGAATAAGCAGAATGGACTTTCACTTTCTCAGGGCTCAGTTTTGATTCACTGATGAAGAACTGCGCTGAAGGGCAGAGCACAACTCGGCCACGGAGAGGGAGCAGTGCCCCGAAACCAGGTTACTGCCATGGACCCCTTTCATTCTTCCTCTTTTGGCCTGACTTCTCAGCTGCCAGTGATATTGGCAGGGGGTCCCAAAGGGCTATTTCCACCCCTGCGTTCCCCCAAAATATAAAGCAGACTGACAGTGCCCTGCTATTATTCCGTGAGTTGATATAAAACTGGTGTGAAGGCATGGATAGGTTGGACGTGGGTGTTATACGCTCAGAACACATCCAAGATGTAAAATAACTAAAATAACCCAGTAACACCTAAACTGATCTTAGTATTGGGCTTGCCCTGTCACGGGGGTGAAGATGTGGATGAGGTGGGCTGTACCGTGAAGGCACAGCTTCGGTGTGCCCAGGGGCAGGTTAGGCGAATGCCGTGCCCAGAGCAGCAACACCAGCAGGTTACAGTGTCCCTGGGGTCATGGTGCCCGGACAGGGTGGCTCCACCGGGCTCCTTCACCTGCAGACTGTCCCCAGCCCCATGGGCATGGAGGAAGCTGTCGAGCTTGGAAAGCTCCAGGGCAGCGGTGGTGGTGGCCCTGGGCATTTGCAGAGTTGTTACTCTGGAAAAGCCAAAACTGAAGAAAGGGAGTCCAAAGGGCTGAGCACACGTGGAAATGCTCTTCAGCTCTTCCTCCCGCCTCTGGCGCTCGTGTCCAGCCAAGCGCGTGGCCGGACGCCTGGCGTGCCGCCTCGGGCAGCGTTGCACCATTGCAAAACCACACAGGAACTGAAAACATCAAGACTCGGGTCTGCTCCCGATGCCTGCTCAAAGCTTCTCCCCAAAGTGCAGGCGGCAAACGATCGGATGCTGAGCAATGGGGCTGCGGAGGGTCCTCTTAAAGGCAGCAGAGCTCCTCTGTGGTTTTCAAGGATGCCAGGGCTGTCCTTGCACTGACGTGGTCTCTCTGGCTGTGCCTCTGCCTGCCAAGGGCCTGCCACGCTGTGTCCCCATCAGATACTGCCCACAGGTCTGCGGGCAAAGAGCGATCGCTACGAAAGACCAACAGCAATTGGCATTTGGCGGGGAGGGAAAAGAGGGAAGGCCAAAGAATATCTTCTGCAGCAAATCCCAACATAAACACTTCAGAGTCTGCAATAAAAACCTGCTTCCGTGAAAAAGGAAAAAAAAAAAAAAAAAAAAAAAGAGTACTATTTTTAAGGAAAATTATGAAGACAAGCATGTGATCATTTGTGGAAAAAAATATGCCCAAACCAATCACAGTTTCCTTTTTGCTGGAAAAGTCACATTTTAGCTCTGTAAGTCTCTAACTTATGTCAGGATGCTTAACCTCCTACTCCCTAGTCCCGGTGAGTGGGACCTTCCTGCAGTGGGAGCAGTAACACCGTACTTTGAAAATCTCCTTCGAGATGGTAACATCTCATTTATTTACCATCTACTTACCTGCTTTGCTTAAAACACAATGTAAAGGGGGGAGAAAGTGTGCTTTCTAGCCAAACACACCTATTACTGTATATTTTACACATGGATACACATGTATATATGTATGACCTCAAGGGGTTAAAATACATATATACATATACACATACGTATACATAGAGAGAGAAAACACATGTTTAAAAATAGGTGAACGGCATCGTCTTTGGCATTTGTCGTCAGTCATCCAGAGGAAGGGGAAGGGAGCTGGGAGACCTCTGATGGGAGAGATGACAGCGACGGAGACCTCCCGCTCTCACGGGCCACAGACGTAGGCTCACGGTTGCTGCTGCCTTTCTGCCTGCGCTGGTTTGCTTCTCTCTAATGGGTAAGACAAACCCAACTGACTAGGCACCATACTTCTGTTGTAATGGTTTTTGAGTATTTTCCATGCTCTGAGTATTATTTTCTGGGTTCTCATTAGGGAGTCTGCCTGGATGTCCATGTGGGGAAAAAAGGGGCATGTTTTAACTGCAAAAACTGTTGGTTTTCAGTAAATTAAGGCATTTCTTCAGTAAGCGGTGCAATTTAATTTTCTGGTGAACATCCAAAGCAGACCAAAATGTCGCACCTTGCAGGCCGAACCTTCTCCAGATGAATGGACAACATGTCAAAAACCCCTCACCTGGAATAATTTGAAAAAAAAAAAAAAAGTGCAATACCTCGGCAATTCTCATTGCACAGTGAGAGCATAATGTGGCTACAATCCGTAATAAAAATCAGGGATAAACCACCCAGCCTCGTCTCTCTCTTCCTCTGGGTGCAATTCAAAGTGTGCAGAGAGCTGGCCAACTGCCTGTACGCTGCTGAAATGCCACAGCCACCCTCAGGACAGGGACTCAATAACGTTCCGACAGCGTGCTGGGCTTCTGGAGAGAGATGAATTTCACCCTTCCAGGTCACCGTTCAGAACAAGGGACCGGGATGCCTCCTATCCGTGTTGGCATTAACCTTCTGTCTCTAATCAAAACCTTGCGACACAAAAGATGCTGGAGAACAGTTTTGAGTCTTCCTCCTGGTGAGGATCTCGGCAGCGTGGCTGGCTGAACGCGACCGGCCCTGTAACTGGGGCTTCCTTCAGAAGTCAACTATTTTCAAAATAACCGGCGGTTTAAAAACAGCTCCTTCCTAGCTGGTTGTAGATCCAGCCTGCGCTGGTGATGAGCGGAATAAAACACTCGCTACCCTCGGACAGGTTATCACAGCTCATGCGCAGGCGCAGCGCGCTCGAGCACCCCCTCGCTTTTGTAAAAATGAAGTTTATTGCACTCCTCACCCCGTATATTCTCTCTCTACATATAAATACTGTATATCCAGTACAAGGCACATACAGACAAAACCAGAGGAGGACTACTACCATTCTAGGCACTCGTGTAGTACTTAAGTCCATCTCCACCACAGTGTACTGGAGGTCGGGTGAATGCAAAACGACAGAGGTAACAACAGGCTGAGGAGAGAGTCCAGGCAGGTAGGGTTGTGTTGGGATGTAACTGCAGCGCTCGTAAAATATACCCATTGCTACATGCATGGACCGGACTACTATGCCACATTTACCCTCCTGTGTCAGGCTACCAGCTCTGCAAGCAGCCGACTCGAAGTTGCTGTTACATTCCTCGGTCAAAGTTACGGAAGCGAGGGCAACCCGGGTAAAATCCCAGTAGGAAACATGGCACTGAGAGGGCATGCACGAAATATGACAGGAGTGACTCGTTTCATTCGGTTTAGTCACATACCTCTTTCCCCTGCCAGGATCATCCAAGATTGAATGAACAGTAGAAAAACAGGGAGGAAATTTAAATATGCAATCAGGCATTAGTTGGGTGTTGTGGATTGTTGTGTATTATCAATAAGTTAAGTTATACTGCAAATTTAATATACACCGGAATGATTTTTAGGTGATTGTGAAATTATTTATCAAATGCTCTTAATGCAAAATATAGTGAGTATATATATATATATATCAATGGGAAGGAAAAGAGGAAATAATGAATGTTACATTACCTACAGTCCTAAACAATAACTCTTCACTCTGAATGTTAAAACAAGTAACTCTTCAATATGTATCCAAGAGCATCAGATTTATAGAGAACAAAGGGCTCAATCCTGCAAATACTTACACGGGTACGCAACGTCACTTGCTCGGGCAGAAATATCCCGATGTGCTGAGAGCGGGACTACAGCCAGCAATGCCAGCTGCCTGAGGGGTCAAGTGTTTCCAGGATCAAGCCTCATGATTTTCTGGTCTATATTTGACTATGACATGGTTTCAGTGGTTTTAAGACATGAATCTATCTGTTAAAGTGCTTTGAAGAGTTAAGAGTAGTCGTATTAGGCCTTAGATAACCCAAGTAATGAGCAATAGAGAATAACTCATCCTAACCTCTGTGACTAATAACTAAGGTATTCCCAAAAAGCCAAGGCAGAAGAGGCCAACAGGAAACCAGGTGAGTTAATCATGTACCGCAGGGGCCCAGGGAAACCCCTGGAAACAACCCGAACGCTCAGAAAGGGACAAAAAAAAAGAATCGTTTTGGTTTGTGGTGGCTTTCCTTGTTACAGCTCTGGACAGCAGGAGCGGTAAGCTGCTGCTGGGACCCCGCTAAGGCGGGCTGGAGGCACAAATACACGACATTATCTGGAAAGAAAACCTTTCTGAAAAGGGGACAGGCTTCCTCTTGTATGTAGTTGGTGGTGAACATATTTGGCCAGATTTGGCTCCTGCTGGCGCTGTAGGAAAGGCTGCAGACTGATGTAGAGGAGAGCAGAACTTCATTAAATTCCTCCGTTAGCCCTCCCTCCCCTCCGCAAAAGCAATCTCCCTGAACTCTACTTCGCCTTCACCGCACTTGAACACTGTTATTTAAGAACACTTTCGGCTTTTAAAGAAGATAACCCAGCACCAGTTGGGAAGACATGACCACAAATATACCCAGCTCCTAGCAAGCCACCGGAACCTGCTGAAGGCCTGGGGGACACGACCTCGCAGGGCGCCGCTGCTCACCTCCGCATGGTGTTCTTCGTTTTGCTGTAGGACTTCAATTACCAATTCTGCCAGGCGTATTGTGTCTTCTAACTTTTTAGCTGGTGTGACTAACCGGCCTACATTTTCTGTAGTACAAGAACTTGAGTTAAAAGAGAGGCAGGATGAAAAGCTAGACGTACAGTAAGTTATTTTAGAGGTTTAAAAAAAAAAAAAAAATCCCGTAATATTCTACAGCTTTAAAGATCTTTTCATGCATATGTTAAATGCTTATATAATTAGTACTGAGCAAACCAGAAAGCCACGTTCGTTATTATACTATGAAAATACAGTGCTCCAGCTCCAAATTTCACAATACTGTCACAGGGTTGTTTTGCTTTATGGTGAGATGGCGGCACTTTATTAGCTCAAATAAGAACATCGCATTCCCTAAAGACAGCATCTGGCCACTAATATACGAACAATATGTATCCTTCAATGTAGATGATGCTATTATAGAAATCATGTCTATGTTATTTTAAAATTCTTTTAAGAAGATCAATTCAAACAAATCTGTCTGTACTTTTAATAAATTGTCAGGCTCGAGCAATTTAAATGTCACCTGCTACTGAAAGCAAAAACTGCAGGTCTGCCTTGCTCCAGGATTTAACTCGAAAAGGGTCAAGGAGTTATGCATGCTGGAGGGAGTGGGAGGTGGTAAATCCCAATAGGCGTTCATAGGTAAGATTTATAGGGGAAAAGAGATGCAACTTTACAGCAAAAACCCCGCAAACAAATCAAAGAGTTTAAATCCTGGAGCTTGGTGTTTGGCTATATTGAGCTATTTTGCAGCATTTTCTGAAGACTTAAAAATAATTACATTATATTCTTCTAGGTAATTTATATTATTGATAACATATTAAACAACTGAGATGGTAACAGCATTTAACTAGAAATAATATAGAGAAAAATAAACTAATTGCATTTTCATTGAAAGACAGAGCTGGCTGAGTGCGACCAAGGGGGTTCCTATGAGCCGAGACCGCGGCTCGGTTCCCTGAGGTGTGCAAAGGCTCCCTGCGACGGTCGCCCCACAGAGATGCAGAGCAGGAGACCTGCTGCCTGGGGATCCACCCACCCTGCAGCACGTCACCACGTTAACTACCGGCATGTCACCCTGCGCGCCGATCCCAGCTCTCCGGTGCAGCTACGGCAAAGAACGGCATCGGACTTTGGTAGCTACACCAGCCAATTCATACCTCTGCACCGCCCC